TTATGGACATGACATTTGCAGTCAAAACTTGAAATAAAAATTCTCAGAAAATACATGTATTGAAACGTATATAGGCTACTTCCTTAAAGGACTCCAGACATTAGACAAATATCAGTCTATGTTTTATTTTTAATATTAGGGAAAAGACACACATTCATGCGTGACAAAAAAAATAGGAGGCAAAATCGATTTTTTGTAATTCTGTTAATTACACTGCGTAAATCGAATGAGGAAGGGTTGGCTCTCCAGTCTCCATAGAACTTAAAATATTCATTTTATTTTAGTTTTCGTATTCGCATTTATGAGGAAAAAACAATGTTACAGACGCGACCGCTCTGAACTGGCACTAAAAGACTGCTTTAAAACTTTCACATAGTCTGTTGCCTTTAAGAAGTAAAAGCAGACAATACACTGTAATACAACTGTAATACAAGCCTCACTGAACATGTAACGAGTAAAATATTACTGAAAATTGATTAGTAATGCCTTACACTACTGCGTTACAGCAAAAAGTAATATGTTACTGTAATGTATTACTTTTGTAATGCGTTACTCCCAACACTGTTTATGACACACTGACAGCCCTATTTTACGTAACGATCTGAAACGCAAGTGTCAAGTAACTTTGTGGGCGTGTCTTGTTGCTATTTTACCGGCGGGATAAATGACTCTTGCACCCGACGAAGTTTAAAGAGGGTTGGTCTGAAATATCTTCATTACTCAAAAGGTGTGGTTTGTTTAATCATCAGAAACTCAAAATAATAAGTTGTCTCAACTAAATAAATTATTTAAGTTGATTTGACTAAAGAAAAGATGTTGTGATAACAAATCTTGAAAATATATATTTTTTTTTTTACAGTGCGTGTACTTACTATAGAGTTAGGGTCTGGTTTAGGGTTAGGTACTTGTAATTATGCATAATTTACTTTTATTTCTATAGTATGTAGTAACGTGTAGTTATTTGTAAAAATTGTTGTAATGCATTATTTACAGAGCTCATTTTCAACGCTTGCATGTAAACCTCAGATGCGTGACCTTATCATAGAACTTAATTATTGCTGTCATTTAGACGTGATGCATAAAGCCACGTTATATTAGATTACATTAATACTGGAATTAATCCGTGCTTCAGAAATCAAATTATCCCACACAGAATTGCACATTTGCATGGCTGATATTGAATTTAATGGCATGCATTATTCAGGCCTTCTTATTTATTTCAGGTTAATTAAATTAAAAGTCTTGTTTCCCAGTTTGCCATCTGCTGTCGCTTTGAGCGTATGGATGACTTGTTCTGATCTCTCTGTGTGTGTGTGTGCCGGAGGGAAGCATCTTTTCTCTCTGCGGTTCTTTTAGTCTTTGCTCCTTTCAGCACGTCAGATTGTCTCCCAAATATAACAGTTAACGACAATTACTGTAATTAGCTCTAATTTATAAATTATTTAGTTATGGCTTTAGATTCTGATTAGATGAGTCTTATTTAAAGCCGGTGTAAAAGAACAGATATAAAGTGATCAGCTGACTGTCCATATAACTACTAACTAGAGTGAGTGAGTGAGTGAGTGAGTGAGTGAGTGAGTGAGTGAGTGAGTGTGTGAGTGAGTGTGTGAGTGAGTGAGTGAGTGAGTGAGTGAGTGAGTGAGTGAGTGTGTGAGTGAGTGAGTGAGTGTGTGAGTGAGTGTGTGAGTGAGTGTGTGTGTGAGTGTGTGTGTGAGTGTGTGTGTGAGTGAGTGAGTCTGTGTGTGTGTGTGTGTGTGTGTGTGTGAGTGAGTGAGTGATGCTCAGTTATTCAGTTTTCAGGGTGTGTCAAGTGAGACTCTCTCAGACACCCATTAGACCACATTTAATCAGCTGTGTGAACTGAAAAGTGCTTTGACAAGCCACACACGCGCGCGCGCATGTGTGTGTGTGTGCGGTCGTCTTGTACCTTGCATCCGCTGTGGATTTGTTGAGCCCGGTGAACCGAGTTTGCCTGTTTGCCCTTTTTTGGACACTGGGATAATTGCATTTTATTGACAGTGTCCTTGAATGAGGACGGGACGTATTTCAGTGGAGCTGTTTTTGGATGCCATGTTGATGGACATGCACACACACACACACACACACCAGTGATCAAGCTAGCAGAAATTCACTCACCGTGTTAGTAATTACCGGCCACTCCACACACACACACACACACACACACACACACACACACACACACACACACACACACACACACACACACTCTTTGAATATGACATTGGCTTTTACTTACCTTTGAATGTCTTTGAAATGAACACAGCAAACACAAGTGCAGTGAATGTTCAGTGGGAAGGGAGAGTCATCCATTAATTTACAGTCTTGTTGATCACATGGCTTAAACGGCTCTGCTAGATTATAACTAGAATATTTCTCATTACAATTTTTTTTCTCTTCAAATATTTTGGCTTTCGTCACTACTATGTCTGACTTTATTCAGAAAAAAGTTAACAAGTTTCTGAAATTTGGTTGATTTTACATGGAAAGACCATTTTGCATATTTTGTGATTACAGGATTTTTATCAAGATTGCAATATTATCAAGCCATTTCTACCCCATTAAATGATTTAGAGCATGATATGTACTCAGACTATATACATTTCTGTCTTCTTAGGTTTTATTATTTTCAATTTTGCATTAGTATTATCTTGTCTTGGAAATCATGTTAGCATGAAACTGATTGTCACGGTCACCAGCTAGTCACCACCTCCTCACTACATTTCCCATCATCCTCTCTGGACCTCACCTGCATGCACTTACCAATCACAGAGATCGCTGTCACTAATCTTCACTGATAATCATCCAGCACTATATATAACACTTCCCACTGCAGTTTACCATGGTCTGGTCTCGTCGTTCCCTCAAAGAACACTTACCTGACTCCTTGCCTGACTTCTTACCTGCATCCTTACCTGACTCATTACCTAACTCCTTACCTAACTCCTGACTCCTTACATGACTCATTACCTGAGTCCTTCCTTACCTAACTCCTGACTCCTTACATAACTCCTTACCTGACTCCTTACCTAACTCCTGACTCCTGACTCCTTACCTGACTCCTTACCTAATTGCTGACTCCTGACTCATTACCGGAACTCCTTGCCTGCCTCCTTACCCGACTCCTTACCTGAACTCCTTACCTAACTCCTGACCTGACTCCTGACCTGACTCCCCTGACTCCTTACCTGACTCCTTACCTAACTCCTGACTCCTAACTCATTACCTGACTCCTTACCTGACTCCTGACCTGACTTCTTACCTGACTCCTTACCTGACTCCTTACCTGACTCCTAACTCCTTATCTGACTCCTTGCCTGACTGCTTACCTGACTCCTTACCTAACTCCTGACTCCTTACCTAACTCCTGACTCATTACCTAACTCCTTATCTGACTCCTTGCCTGACTTCTTACCTGACTCCTAACCTGACTCCTTACCTAACTCCTGACTCATTACCTGACTCCTTACCTAACTCATTACCTGAACTCCTTGCCTGTCTCCTTACCTGACTCCTTACCTGACTCCTTACCTAACTCCTGTCTCCTTACCTGAACTCCTTGCCTGCCTCCTTATCCGATTCCTTGCCTGACTCCATACCTGACTCCTTATCTAACTCCTGACTCCTGACTCCTTACCTGACTCCTTACCTAACTCCTGACCTGACTCCTTACCTGAACTCCTTACCTAACTCCTGACTCCTAACTCCTTACCTAACTCCTGACTCCTTACCTGACTCCTTACCTGCCTCCTTACATCACTCATTACCTGACTCCTTACCTGACTCCTTACCTAACTCCTGACTCCTGACTCCTTACCTGACTCCTTACCTGAACTCCTTGCCTGCCTCCTTACCCGATTCCTTGCCTGACTCCTTATCTGACTCCTTTCCTGACTCCTTACCTGATTCTTTACCTAACTCCTGACTCCTGACTCCTTACCTGAACTCCTTACCTGACTCCTTACCTGACTCTTTACCTAACTCCTTACCTGACTCCTTACCTGACTCTTTACCTAACTCCTTACCTGACTCCTTACCTAACTCCTGACTCCTTACCTGAACTCCTTACCCGACTCCTTACCTGACTCCTTACCTAACTCCTGACTCCTTACCTGAACTCCTTACCCGACTCCTTACCTGACTCCTTACCTAACTCCTGACTCCTTACCTGAACTCCTTACCCGACTCCTTACCTGACTCCTTACCTAACTCCTGACTCCTTACCTGAACTCCTTACCCGACTCCTTACCTGACTCCTTACCTAACTCCTGACTCCCGACTCCTTACCTGACTCCTTACCTGACTCTTTACCTAACTCCTTACCTGACTCCTTACCTAACTCCTGACTCCTTACCTGAACTCCTTACCCGACTCCTTACCTGACTCCTTACCTAACTCCTGACTCGTTACCTGAACTCCTTACCCGACTCCTTACCTGACTCCTTACCTAACTCCTGACTCCTTACCTGAACTCCTTACCCGACTCCTTACCTGACTCCTTACCTAACTCCTGACTCCTTACCTGAACTCCTTACCCGACTCCTTACCTGACTCCTTACCTAACTCCTGACTCCTAACTCCTTACCTGACTCCTTACCTAACTCCTGACTCCTGACTCTTTACCTGAACTCCTTACCCGACTCCTTAACTGACTCCTTACCTAACTCCTTACATGACTCATTACTTGATTCCTTACCTGCACAATACCAACATGATACCTAACAGAGCTATTTGTCTTCAGTCATCTGCTTCCTTCGTCCATCCTCAGTCATCTGCCTCCATCTCCATTTCAGAACCTGCAGCAGATAAGACCATTACTCATCCAGATGTCCATCCTATACACTATATTCATCAGTTGTTCACCTGCTTCCATCGTTGCGATCACATACCTGTTGATCACTTTACCTGACACTGATGAGATGTAATCCGATGATCGTTGGTGTAATAGCCTGCTGTTAGAGTGTGTGTTTGTGTGTTGCCAGGCTCCGCGGATGGGCACACTCATGGGCGTTTACCTGCCCTGCCTGCAGAACATCCTGGGTGTGATTCTGTTCCTCAGGATGACCTGGATGGTGGGCATCGGCGGGGTCATTGAGTCCTTCATCATCGTCCTCATGTGCTGCTCCACGGTGAGTCACACACCATGCAATATGTGCGATTATTTTAATACTGACTGTTTACTTGTCTTTAATAATGGTTGAAATTTCTATAAGCTAGGCTAGCTATTTTTGCTGTGGTATTTTGGTTTGGTAAGTTCCTTGTGTAACTTTAAGCTGCTGATTTTAATTCACTTACAATAAAATGTTTTGTAAAAAAGACGGACTAAATATGTTCGATATCTAAGGGTGTTTTCAACCTGGGTTTGATTGGCTGGTCTGAGCCGGAGTTCTCCCCTGCGCCCACTCGACTGTGTCCACTATATAGTATATTGTACATGTACATCTACCGCAAATGTTCCAAAGAACAAGGCAGTCCATTTCTGCAAAAATACAAATGAGATGTACATGCTTGCAGTACGGAAAGTGGGTAAGAACAAGCACAAACACAGTTTAATCAAATCATACGTCATCAATTGAGGCTCAATTCCGACAAAAACATTCACATCATCCAAATGAACTGAAGCCTAATATATATATATATATATATTAGGCTTAATATATATATATATATATATATACTATATTTATACACTGTAAAAAGAAATCCGTTAAATTTACGGGAAATCTCCGGCAGCTGTTACCAGAGTTTTCCTGCATGTTAAAAGTACGGTAGCAACATTTTAGGTTTTACAGACTTTGACCGTTTTTAATTTTACAGCAATAAACCGTAATTCATTATTTGATATAATGTTAATTTACTGACATTTTGAAGTATTAATATCTATTTTGTTCAATGGCTATACACCGACAGCCATCAATCACAGCAATAATTATCAATCAAAGCTCATCATTATCAGCTCTTCCACAAGAGAGTTCATATCATACTACTATATAGAAGCTGCACAGTCTCATTCACACAAACATTAAACACCATCATGGTAACATATTGAAATTTAAAAAATGAAATAAGAATTAATTTAACAATGTTAAATGTAACATAAAACCCTAATGAACATAACTGATAAGAAAAAAACTAAGAAAATTATGAATAAACAGTAAAAATACATTAAATTGTGAAGTGTCACGCAGGGAATTGTGGGAAAGTCAATTTACATTTTTTTCACTGTAAATTATACAATGACTTCTTCTTTTTCACTTCCAAAAACTGTAAATTTAACAGTATTTTACAGTAAAATTACATTAAATGTACCATTATATTTATCAGTTATTTACTATATATAGTACGGAAACTTTCTGTTAACCAATTAACAGTTTTTCACTGTAGCATTTTTACAGTCTTTTACTGTTAAAATCACGATCCTTTTTTACAGTGTATATATATATATATATATATATATATTTTTAGACCACACATGGAGTAGCGATTGAGTGCAACCTGAATGCAACATTTAGTGGTGGCATATTTTGCTAATAAAATGAGAAGAATAACGTGAGCTTTTATTAGGTTTAACGCATGCTCATTTTATAGCGTTTCACTGTGTTCTGAAACCTGAACGCCTTTTTCAGATTAATATAGACATATCCTAAGATATCATCCTGCCACATGCACACATCTGATGTTAATTTTCAATGATTCTGAATTTGCATGTCCCACATTTTCAAAGACTCGCTGATTAACATGCATCTCTTTCATCTTCACCTGCTCATATGTGCTTGGCTTCAGTGTACATGCTCATGATTTTTATGTTCACGTGTGCAAGATTATCCAGCGCCCGTGGAAGTGCTATTTTTATCTCTCTTTCTCTCTCTTGCACATAGACATGCTCTGGAATTACATACTACAAATCTTCTCTCGAAGTGTGAAACGCATTAAAATCGGCAATATATGCTCAGCTATGACAGCGGATCACTAACCGTGGTCAATGACCTTAAAATTATTATTTGATCAGACTGAAGAATTTTTAAAATCGAAATGCGTTTATGGTTGAATGCATCATGTTGCACATGCTATTAAGAAAATGCTAAGCAGCACTTGTTTTTATCCCTGTAAAGAAAGCAACATGCCAGTTTGGATCCATCAGGAAAACCTCTCCCGCCGTTTGTAGAAAAGCTTATTTTTTGTCATGATGCATCCATTTAAAAAGCATACAGGTGCTTTCAGACAAAAACACTGAAGCTAAAAGCAGCTCGCCTAGATGTCGTCCAGCAGGTGCTGGGTGTTAAGGTCCGCATCGGAGGACACACTGTGTGTGCTGACATGAACAGTGTATCCTGATGATGTCTAATAAACTGACTGAAAAGGCCATCTTTCTGTCCAGTTGCACTAGAAGCCTTGTTTTGAAGGATTTGACTGACTCAAGTATGTTTGGATCATAGACACAGAATAAGAAAGCACAGATAAAACAATAATATGATAATAAATAATAAAAAATAGTTTGCATTGCTTTATTACACATTTGCTCCCATGTCCAGATGCTTTCATGGGTCTCATGAGATTATCATAAAATAAAAATTAAATACTAGCATGAGGTATACATATGCATTACAAATTAAATAATCACTATTTAAATAATTTAAATAATGCAGTCGCTATTATTTACACAATTTTCTTACTTTAAAGTGATTAAAATTTGTGGTGGCTTAATTTTCATGAAAATGTCAGTTCAAAACATCTTAATGGTCTTAAAATTAGGCTTTGTTTTTGTTATGCGAGACTTCATTTATATAGTAATTAATTACTTTCTATTATTCATATATACATTTTTTTTTTTTTTTATATTTTCAGTTTTTAGTTGTTTATTATTTTTGTTTGCCATTCTTTTTTAAAATATATTTCTGAATGCGTAGTTTTGATTTTATTATAAGTTCAGTTTATAATGATTTTAATTCTTCAACTTATTTCAGTTCAGAATTTTTATTTAGTTTACATTTTTCATCTAATTTTTATTTAGAGCTGTCAAGCGATTACAAAATAAAAGTTTGTGTTTACATAATATATGTGAGTGCACTGTGTATAATTATTATATATATATATATATATACACACACACACACATGCCTGTATATTTAAGAAAAAAATATTATTTATATATTAAATATTTATATAAATTATATATAAATCAGTAAAATATTTCTTAAATATATATAAGCATGTGTGTGTATTTATATAAAAGAATTATACACAGTGCACCCACATAAACACAAACTTTTATTTTGGATGCGATTAATCATTTGACAGCCCTAATTTTATTTAATCTTTTTTTCAATTAACAACATGTTTTTACTAGTTTTGATTTTGGGGTGCATTGGGACATGATTTAGTGAGATTCACCCTATGTGATATATCTTGCCGAAAGGCAACAGGCAGATAATGGACAGTAACATTCATTTAGTACATTCAAATCTAAGGTTTTCTTATTTAAAATCCAAGCAAATGATGTGAAAGCCACAGCCATCAGAGACACCCAAAGATAACGAAGGCCTTACAGAATCCTTCCAAACGAGGTTAAAGCGGCCTCTGAGATGTTCTGCAAACATTTCCCTGTGAGACTGTGTGTCTTGATGACTGGTCTTTAAGTGGTGCATCTCAATGACTTCTCTTATGATTTATCTGCCCGTCCGCTCCATCGGCGTGGTGTGAGCGTCACCTCAACATCCGTCTGTGGTTTTTGAATGAGTGTATACATGCATCATATTTAGAAGTAGCGAGACGCTATCAATGTCATCTGAAATTACCAGCTCATTGCCAGACGCCCATCGCTTGCGTTCGGTCTCTCATGGCAACAGATGGAGAGGAGGAGAGAAACGCTGATTCTTTCATACATCACTCGCCTCTCTAAGACAGACTGAAGAGACATTAGAAATGCAGTAATGAATCATTAAAGGACACAAACAACAGCATCGATCCACTTTCAAATAGTCGGCAGGCGCAGAGACATTGACAGGCGGATGATAGACAGACAGCGCTTCGGTTATTTATGGGTTGAGACAGCGGGAAAGATTCTGTTGAATAAGCAGATTATTCATAGGAATATATTAATACATGAATATTATTTGCACTTGTGTGTGTGTGTTGTGTATTCGGTGATAGATGTAATTAAAGCAACACTTAAATCAGAGACAACAAGAACTAGCTGGACTCTAAGGTAGCGTGACATATCTATCTTTAAATAAGGCAGTCGCTATTATTTACACAATTTTCTTACATTAAAGTGATTTAAATTTGTGGTGGCTTAATTTTCATGAAAATGTCAGTTCAAAACATCTTAATGGTCTTAAATTTAGGCTTTGTTTTTGTTATGCGAGACATAATTTATATAGTAATTAATTACTTTCTATTATTCATATATCAAATTTTTTTGTTTTATTTTTATATTTTCAGTTTTTAGTTGTTTATTTTTTAGTATTTTTCTTTTTTAAAATATATTTCTAAATACATAGTTTTGATTTTATTATTAGTTCAGTTTATAGTGATTTTAATTCTTCAACTTATTTCAGTTCAGAATTTTTATTTAGTTTACAATTTTCATCTAATTTTAATTGCGATTACAAAATAAAAGTTTGTGTTTACATAATATATGTGGGTGCACTGTGTATAATTATTATATATATATATATACACACACATGCCTGTATATTTAAGAAAAAATATTATTTATATATAAAATATTTATATTTATATATAAAATAAATGATATACAGTATATAAATCTATATACAGTATATACATGAAAATATTTCTTAAATATATACAAGCATGTGTGTGTATTTATATATATAAAAAAATAATTATACACAGTGCACCCACATATATTATGTAAACACACACTTTTATTTTGGATAGCTGGATTCTAAGGTAGCGTGACATATATGAAGTCAATCCCAGAATGCACTGCTCAAGTTCCAATATGGCAGGCAAAGCGATAGAAATGTTGATTATAAATATACCACTATGAGCTTGCGTGTTTTTAAGATTTTGAGACCTGTTCTCCTGCGCTTGGCTGTATTCAATTGAGTTTCTGATGTGTCGTTTGATTATGTAAATTTATCCTCTCCAGGGGCCCAAATATGGCCGGCACTCTGTTGCTGAGTAACAGCGAGGAGACGCATACCTCGAATTAATACTGACAAATCTATCATTTGAGCTTATGTACACTATAGCGTTGTGGCTCAGTAAGATTTCTTTCTCTTTGTTTGTGGACTTTAAATCTAAATACTTTATATTTAGTTGTTAAAAGTAACAGTAAATATTTTATAATGTTACAAAATCTAATTGTCATGTTATAATGATTTCTGAAGGATCATGTGTCACTGAAGACTGGAGTAATCATCATTATTCTATTTTTATTCACTGTTAAATCATTGGGTTGGTTGTCATAATGTCTGTTTCAGTGTTATTGGCTCACTCCGCTGAAGGCAGATGGCGTGATTGGCTGGGAAAACTGGTTCAAACAGCCGGTGCCCTGCATCGTCCAATCAGAAGCTGCAGCCAGCATGTGATTAGCATATGGAGTTCTGTGATGATATGAAGTGTTTCTGAATGGCCATTGGACTTGTGTTGGTGTGTGTGGAAATGGAGTCTCATTTAAGAAAGAAACCTGCTGATTAACGCCTAGTGAACTCATTCATGGTCATTTCAAGGATCAACTTTGTCTAAAATTCATTTAAAGAAATACAAAAATGAGAGGATTTTTTGTATACAGTATGGAGGTGTGAATGAATGTGGAGAGCAGCTCAGATCAGTGCCGTATGTTCACATATTATTTTTATATTATTTTTATATTATATATATATATATATATATATATATATATATATATAGCAATTACACCTAGAATTTGAAGTAATCTCTCTCTCTCTCTCTCTCTCTCTCTCTCTCTCTCTCTATCGATTCAAACACTCATTTGTGTGTTTCTGTCTGTATGTTCTGTGTGACTTTCTAAAGAAGCGTCAGGGTCCTGCTGTTTTCCTCTCGGTCTGACAGCATCAGCTCAAAAATAGACACATTTGCATCTGTGGAGACAGTTCGGTGCTGATTTAAAGACGGCTTTAATCTCCAGGACGTTTTACAATCCCAGTGCAGCGTAAAGGAGACAGAAGAGGTTTCAGACCAGATCAGGTTTACTCTGCTACTTTCAGGTCGACTAAATTACTTTAATCAAGGTGATCTGAGACAACGATCCATCAATACTAAACACCTCCCTCTTTTTCACAGAAGACTCCTGTTTTACTATCTATCTATCTATCTATCTATCTATCTATCTATCTATCTATCTATCTATCTATCTATCTATCTATCTATCGTCTGTCTGTCTGTCTGTCTGTCTATCTATCTAGTCTGTCTGTCTATCTGTCTATCTATCTATCTATCTATCTATCTATCTATCTATCTATCTATCTATCTATCTATAGTCTGTCTGTCTATCTATCTAGTCTGTCTGTCTATCTATCTATCTATCTATATATCTATCTATCTATCTATCTATCTATCTATCTATCTATCTATCTATCTATCTATCTATCTATCTATATATAGTCTGTCTGTCTATCTATCTATCTAGTCTGTCTATCTGTCTGTCTGTCTATCTATCTATCTATCTATCTATCTATCTATCTATCTATCTATCTATCTATCTATCTATCTATCTAGTCTGTCTGTCTATCTATCAATCAATCTATCTATAGTCTGTCTATCTATCTATCTATCGTCAGTCTGTCTGTCTGTCTGTCTATCTATCTATCTATCTATCTATCTATCTATCTATCTATCTATCTATCTATCTATATATCTATCTATCTATATATAGTCTGTCTGTCTATCTATCTATCTAGTCTGTCTATCTGTCTGTCTGTCTATCTATCTATCTATCTATCTATCTATCTATCTGTCCATCTGTCTATCCTTTTATTTATCTGTCATTCTATCTTTCATTTTGTCTTATTCATAATAATAAAATACAGTTCAGAGATGTTGATTCACCATTCATTGAAGGATTCATCAAACTGAGTCAAACTATTTACTTGTGAGTCTTTTAGAATGATTCAGTTCATAGGAATCATTTGCTCATGAATCAGAATGTTTGTTTACAGGCGAGGACACTACCTCGACTCAAGCTTTTCTTGTCATTTTTCGCTGTCACACCGAATCGTGTCCGAATTTCAGAAATGATGATGCATCGCATAATTTTTGTTGTATGAGAATCATATCCTCGTTAGTGTTGTTGTGACGAGGCAGCGTCCTTATTGTTCTTTTTTTAATCTGTTTTGATGTCAACTAATCAACAGTGCTTTTCTGTCCTTCTGTGTGTTTTATTCCAGACGATGCTCACCGCTATCTCCATGAGTGCCATCGCCACGAACGGCGTAGTGCCAGGTAAGCGAGCTTAACATGTGCATGTGGGTCGCCTTGGAAACAGGAAGCGGTCACCGTAGCAACAACAACTCCGAGCACTGACCAGACAGCAAAATCCTCAAAGCTATATTTATGTATTCATAATTCGATGAGCGTGGCCCGTCCTAATGACCCCCTTGATCTCATCTCCTGATTGGAGGAGAGCAGAGGTGAGGTGAAATTGCCAGGTTTGGTTCCCCATCAGCGATAGGCTGCTATTATCTCTATAGTGCTAAAAGCCTCTTGATAAGCATGCTTAATATTTCCCAAGAAACAGGAAGTTGTAATTGTTGGTTGTATTGAGCTATTTTTCAGAGCTGTCAACACCAGAATGCTTTGTTAATATCCGATAATATGGTTTCCTACGAGGGTTTTTTGTGTGTGTGATCATGCATCTGTTTTCAACAGCTGGCGGCTCCTACTACATGATCTCTCGTTCTCTGGGCCCTGAGTTTGGTGGAGCTGTGGGAATCTGCTTTTACTTGGGCACCACCTACGCTGGAGCCATGTACATCCTGGGCTGCATCGAGATCCTGCTGGTGAGATCAAAAACCTGTGTGTTTTATGAGTGTGTATGTGAAAAGTTCTACTAAAACAGGTTTTCATGCTTTAAAGGGGACATATCATGCAAAATCCACTTTTTTAGCTCTTAAATGGATTTTGTTGTATATTTGGAGTGTTTATAAGTACAGAACAGATGAAATTATTCTCTTCAGGTGCTTCGTTTATATCTTTATATTCTGTTTTGGTCATATTTTTCAACCTGTTCAGATTTTTCTGTTCACGTTTTTTGAACAATTTTGAACAACCAAATATCTGGGGTTCAAGTTATAAAGCCAGGATCAATGATTGGCCATAAATCTGAATACTGGGAGGGACAACTACTGTTTTTTTTTTTTTTGAGGGTGGTGTGCATGCTCACACACGCCCCAACCCCTATGTTTACACTTAAATACGCCTGATAGGAAGGACATTGCTCAGTGACATTACTGGGGTTTTACTCACAAAAGGTAAGTCAAGATGACAAGCTGTTCTGCTGCAAAGTGTTAAAGGGGACATATCATGCAAAATCCACTTTTTTTAGCCCTTAAATGCATTTTGTTGTATATTTGGAGTGTTTATAAGTACAGAAAAGATGAAATTATTCTCTTCAGGTGCTTCGTTTATATCTTTATATTCTGTTTTGGTCGTATTTTTCAACCTGTTCAGATTTTTCAACAATTACGTCACAGTATTTGCAGCGGAACTGACAAATAAGGACATCGACTACCGGTCCAACACTTTGAGCAATCCGCCATTATTATTTCTCGCTCCGATTTTATAGTCCGAGCTCAATGATGCAGAAGTTACGAGAGGGCAAGTCAAAATATTTGGTTGTTGGATGTACGTTAGTGACCTGAAGCACTTCAAGGATTCCCACTTCAACAACCTCCGCCAGTAACGTTATACAGAAGGGTTCGCCGATTGACTTTGTCTGAATGAGAGGTAACGTTAAATTCCTTCTATCTTTGGAGACGACGAACAGAGCATTTCGATAAGCTGTAAATATCGTTAATACAAATAAAGTACTTTACTTTCTTCAAACACATGGTGGTCATGGTTTAGCAGTAGTTTTGTCTTTCTTTTGAAGTAACGTTACACGTCTGCAGTATTATCGTTCTCGAGTTTCATTAATGGTCATTTAGCTGCGTTGTTTTCTGATGCTTTTCTAAACGTATCATATTATCAATACAGATTTTTAGTGGTAAGATTAGACCGTAGTCATTTATCTTGTCAGTGTGCTTGTTTTAACAAGAGAAATAGTCGACTTTCACTAATAACACAAAACAGTTAACTCACATACCAATACATCCATATGATGAAGAGGTTGTTCAGCAGGTTCGTCGTCGTCTTTATCAACTCGCTCGCTCTGGCTCGAATATGTAAGGCTTGATGGACAAGTCTTCTGTTAACGTGTGAATAAAAATGTTCTTTGAAGGTATCGTATATAATCGTATATCTGTAATCAAACTACAATAATGGCCGAACGTGGGGAGTTCAACCGACCGTGAACTCATCGACCTGGAGAGCGGGCGGGGTGTGACACATCTCCTTTTTATTTAAAGGGGCCGCTTCGAAACGGGTCGCTCACAGACGCACATCAGAAAAGGGGCTTGTGGAGCTATAATAATGAGGAATTCAGACCCAAGCATTGCAGTTATGCTTTATATAGACCACAAATGTATGATTTATATGTAAAAATGATTGATTTAAAAGCATGATATGTACCCTTTAATGTTCATTATTTTCCGCTGTTGCGTCTCCTCTCTTCCAGTCTGTCAGTAACGCTCTTGTCTCTATGAAGCTCCTCCTTCTGAAAAGCACACTGTGCTCTGATTGGTCGGCTGGAGCAGTGTGTTGTGATTGGTCAAGCACTTTAAGCGTGTTTGGGAAATGTCCCGCCCCTTACCATAACCACCAGTTTCAACACACTACTAACTAACTCAACCATGCCCCGCCCCTTTTGGCAGGAATTAGGCTATTTAAAGGGATAGTTCACCCAAAAATGAACGAGAAAAATTATGTTATCATCATATACTCGCCGTCATGTCAAACGTTCCAAACCCATCAATGAAGATTTTTTTGATGAAATCTGAGAGATTTCTGTCCCGCAACTACCACTTTGACACTTCAAAAAGAGATCGTAAAACTAATCCATATGAATTGGGCGGTTTAGTCCAAATTTTCTGAAGAGACTCGATCGCTTTATATGATGAACAGATTGAATTTAGACTTATTCACATATAGCTAAACATTGACCAGCGAACATAAACAGAAGCTCAACCGAATCTTCTTGAAGCTCAAACGTGATGCGTAACACGAGAATGAACCTCATTGGTTCTCGTGAGCAAGCTTCTGTTTACCACAACTGAATGTTTGTATGTGAATAAAAGCCTGAATTCAATCTGTTCATCATATTATAAAGCGATCGAGTCTCTTCAGAAAATGTGGACTTAACCTCTCAATTCAATTGGATTAGTTTTAGGATGAACTTTTTGAAGCGTCAAAGACAGTGAAAGTTGCGTAGCTGTTTTGCAAACAGCAACATTACACACTAAAGAAAGTTGAATGTGAAAAAGCATTTAAAAGACTTTTAATATAAAGCATAAGTTGTATGGACTACTTTTATGGCGATTTTATGTGCAGCCTGGACATTCTGCTAAACCTCTCCATAGGAGAAATAAAGTCATATGGATTTGGAATGACATGAAGCACAAATTTATCATAAGTGCCTTTTATACTTTAAATCAACCAGTGAGATACACACACAGAATTGTGGGATATCATAAGACCAGATGACCATGATTGTATCTCTCTATCTCTCATCCTGCTTCTCCTCTTCGAGCGAGTAATTAAGTAATTATGCAGAGTCTGCGTTTAATTGCTCCGCTGATGATGGTCTCGTGTTAAACACACGTGTCCTCGCGGCTCGTGGATGTTCTCTCGCATTACTCGTCTCGCTTCTGGGTTAATTCTTTCTTCCAGAGGAACAGAGGCTTAGCTCCCATTGTCCGTGGAAAATCTTCTCCATGCTTGAGATCGACGGGTCCACGGCGTGCTGATCCGAGAGAGTGTTTTATCCAGACTACGGCTCAGAAGGACACTTAGATGCCGAATAACACCGTATTCTGTAAACCGACAGATATTATTAAAATGAACAGGTCACCATAGAGACTAGCTGATCTGATGTGTGTGTGTGTGTGTATTTCATCAATTTAACAAAGCTTATTTGCTGTGCCGTCACTTCCTACATGCAGATAACGTAGTCTGTAAAGAGAATCCACAAGGGACACAATAAAAATAAAAAGATTACATAAAAATGTTTCATTTAATTGTAATTTGAATCACAGATCATTCTGAAACATAAAAATGTGTGTAATGTACTGTATATTATAAGAGTAATTATTGGGAATCTGTCCAGATCATGTCCGGGTCATATATCCTCACAAAAAAAGAGTGATTTATAAAATTATATTTTACTTATATATTTATGCTTAATATATATATATATATATATTCATTTTTAAAGGAGTAGTTCACTTTTAAAAAAACTTTTGCTGATAATTTACTCGCCCCCATGTCATCCAAGATGTCCATGTCTTTCTTTCTTCAGTTGAAAAGAAATTAAGGTTTTTGATGAAAACATTCCAGGATTTTTCTCCATATAATGGACTTCAATGAAGTCCAAACGGTTCAAGGTCCAAATGACAGTTTCAGTGCAGCTTCAAAGGGCTTTAAACGACAGCAGACGATGAATAAGGGTCTCATCAAGCGAAACGAGCGCTCATTTAAAAAATAAATAACAAAGTTTAAGTTTTATAAGCACAAATGCTCACCTTGCTCTGTTCTGTGATGTGCGTTTGTGACTCTCCTGTTTGAACTCGTTCATCAAAATTAACGAGCCTTTTTTTGTGTCATTTGGTTCATTCAACGAACGTAATGAATGAGTTGACTCGGGAAAAGATTTGTTCATTTTGATGAACGAGTTCAAACAGGAGAGTCACAAGAACAGAGCAAGACGAGCATTTGTGCTTATAAAACTTAAACTTTGTTATTTTTTTTTTTAAATGAGCGCTCGTTTTGCTAGATAAGACTCTTATTTATCGTCTGCTGTCGTTTAAAGCCCTTTGAAGCTGCACTGAAACTCTCATTTGGACCTTGAACCGTTTGGTCCCCATTGAAGTCCATTATATGGAGAAAAATCCTGGAATGTTTTCATCTAAAACCTTAATTTATTTCCGACTGAAGAAAGAAAGACATGGACATCTTGGATGACATGGGGGCGAGTAAATTATCAGCAAAAGTTTTTTTTTAAAGTGAACTACTTATCAAAACTTTATCTGTTTTGTTGTATATTTTGTTTGTATATGTGTGTTTCTAAAACTCTAAATATAATTAATATCATTAATATATTGTTTTAACAAACAAACTCAATTTTTCCAGTTGTGTCCCTGCATTTATTTAATGGAAAAAATGGGCAAATCTTATAAAATGATGTCTGGGTGACCTCGAAGAACCTGTAAAAAATGTTTTTCCATAAAGCCTTTTTTTTTTTTTTGCATTATAATATTATGTCGTGACAATCATCCCCCTCAAATTGTTTCTGTAAGCAAAATGCAATTAAATATAAATCTTTATTTTTGGGGGGAGAATAATTGCTAATAACCCCGGGCATGATTTTGAGAGATTTGGCAAGATTCACAATAATTACTCATTTTTATCCTTCTTATTAGGGTAAAAGTATGAAATAGTTTAATGGACAATGTAATATATTGTGCTTAGAGGCATGAAACATAGCATATGCACCCAAAAGTTTACGGCTTTAAATATAATTTAGGTCAGGCCTCTAATAAGGACTAATGGCGGGTCATTTGCAGTATTAATTCCATGCTTGACTAGTTCAATTAACGCTCGTAGAACTGAACTCACGCTAGTCTGTGTCATTGTGAATCACTCTCATCTCTCTTTCTTTTGCTCGTTTGCTATTCTTTGAATATTTGCCTTGTTTAACCTTTTTAATGGGGGATGTTTTAGTCATTTGTACTGACCTTTAACCTTCCCCAATCTTGTTTCTGTGTTATATTTGACTGTTCAGTTTCGGTTGTAAACATTAGCATTATAAAATAAGCTATTAATGCACTGTAAAAAAATATTTTCAAGATTTATCATCACAACATTTTTTCTTTTGTCAAATCAACTTAAATCATTTATTTAGTTCAGATAACTTATTATTTTGAGTTTCTGACGATGACGATTAAATCATTCTCCTTCATTGTATTAACTCACTTTTTCCAGTTCAATCAACTTAAAATTTTAAGGCAACCAGGTTACTTAATTTTTTTTATTAAACCAACAATATTTTTTTTACTGTGTCAAACATTGTCCACTGATATGAAGATGCTCTGAACCAGTTTTGTTAGGAAAACTAGAGGGAAAACGATACATTAAATTATTTATAATGGCATAAGGCGCATGGCATGCTTCAGATGTTATTAGCTGAAAAATACATGATACATTTCATTTTTTGGTGCTTTAGGCTAGTAAAACACCCATTTATCACTTAGAAAATGACCCTTTTCTCGGAGTAATTTATTCTGAGAGAGGCAGTTTAATGAAATAATGAGGACAGCAGGTCATCCATAAACGTAAGATAAAGAAATGTAAGTCCATAAAGTGAGGAAACGTTCACTCTTCTTCTTTTTGATGAGCATTTATGCATTTCTCTTTGCTCCTCCTACCTCAGGTGTACATCGTTCCACAAGCGGCCATTTTTAAGATGGAGGGTCTGGAGGGAGCCGAGGCCGAGGCCGCCATGCTGAACAACATGCGTGTTTACGGCACACTCGTGCTGAGCTTCATGGCCCTCGTGGTGTTTGTGGGAGTGAAGTACGTGAACAAGCTGGCGCTCGTCTTCCTCGCCTGTGTCATCTGTTCCATCCTCGCCGTCTACGCTGGAGTGATCAAGACCGCCTTCGAGCCTCCCATCTTCCCGTATGCGCCTCATGAATATTACGATCGTATCAGGGCCAAACTTATGCCCATGACAAAAAACTTTTGCTGATAATTTACTCGCCCCCGTGTCATCCAAGATGTCCATGTCTTTCTTTCTTCAGTCGAAAAGAAATGAAGGTTTTTGATGAAAACATTCCAGGATTTTTCTCCATATAATGGACTTCAATGGGGACCAAAAGACAGTTTCAGTGCAGCTTGAAAATGAACAAATCTTTTTTCGAGTCATTTCGTTCATTTTGTTCGTTGAATGAACGAAATGACTTGGAAAAAGATTCGTTCATTTTGATGAACAGGAGAGTCACGAACGCTCATCACAGAACTGAGCAAGGCGAGCATTTGTGCATAAAACTTAAACTTTGTTATTTATTTTTGAAATGAGCGCTCGTTTCGCTAGAAAAAAAACCCTTATTCATCGTCTGGTGTCGTTTAAAGCCCTTTGAAGCTGCACTGAAACTCTCATTTGGACTTTGAACCGTTTGGACCCCATTGAAGTCCATTATATGGAGAAAATCCTGGAATGTTTTCATCAAAAACCTTAATTTCTTTTCGACTGAAGAAAGAAAGACATGGACATCTTGGATGACATGGGGGCGAGTAAATTATCAGAAAAAGTTTTTTTAAAAGTGAACTAATCCTTTAATTTTAGATACATTTCTGTTAAATGTGATTTGCATTTGATTAGTTAAAAAATATGTTATTTGGGTTTCATTTATTTTAAATTCAATTTTAGTTTTTATTAATTTCCAGTTAAGAATTTTACTGTTAGTTTATTGCCCATGCAGTATTTTTCAATTTTTAGTTTTGGTTTTTCAACTAATAATTATATTTTAGTTTATTAAAAAATTGGAAAAATTGGAATAAGTTTTACAAAAAAAAAAAAAAATCTATTTCAGTATTCTACTTCAGAATTTCAATGTGTAACGTGCCTTTCTTTGATTTTTTTAAGTTAAATTTACAAGCAATTTCTGTGTGAATTTTTTTTAAGTTGAAATATGTCATTGATTTCCACAGAGTGTGTGTGCTGGGGAACCGGACTCTGGTCTGGAAAGGTTTCGATGTGTGTGCGAAGTTCATCGAGAGAGAAAACGCCACGGTCACCACCCAACTCTGGCGGATGTTCTGCGACTCCGAGTTCTTGAACGCCACATGCGACAGCTATTTCAGCGGGAACAACGTCACGGAAATACAGGGCATCCCGGGACTTATGAGCGGCACCCTACGCGGTAAATACACACACAACATGACATCATCACATCACACTCATATCATCATAACCGTCCACAAAGAAAGGCACACAGTATTGATACACATACGTCTAAGTTGACACTTGTTCTAAACAATCACTTTAGCAAAGTTTGTACTACTTTCTGTTTATTCTGATAAATAAAAATAATTCAATATACTGTCATTAAAATATGTTTTTAAATTTTAAAAATACAGAATAAAAGTAAAGATTCTGAAAGCATTGAAGGAGATTCCATAATAATTTGATATAGATTTGCAGAAGTGACCATAAATGATATTTTATTATATATGATTAATACCATATTTTTTAAAGGTGGACACCTAACTTCATATATGATATTTTCCATCTGACTCTAACCATGTCATGTCAACAAACAGGAAAGTTTATTATCAATATTAATTCACCCTGATAGATTTTTATCACTACACTTTTATAGATTCTTCTGATGTTAAAAAAAACTGTTGCTTTATATACCTTGAACAAAACTGAAAATCATTAAGAAGACCTTTGTCTCAAAATATACTTCACCATTTTAGGGATTCTCATTTGCTACTTAAATCTACAACATTTAAAAAAACATCAAATATTAGATCAATTTAGCATATAATCAATTTATTTTATGAATCATATTTTTCTTTTCTTTTTTACTTTTTATACATCAAAAAATTCGAATCACAGTTTCCACAAAAACATGACAGAATTCAACATTTATGATAATCAGAAATGTTTCTTGATCATCAGATCATCGTATTAGAGTGATTTCTGAAGGATCATGTGACACTGAAGACTGGAGTAATGATGATGAAAATTCAGCTTTGATCACACACTCTTAGAAGAAAAGGTTCTATCAGCGCTACGTATTTGGAACCCCTAAAAGGTTCTATACACTCTTAAAAAAGGGTTCCTCTGGGTTCTATATAGAACCCTGAGGTTCCATACTTGGCCAATAGAACCTTTTACCAAAAAAAAAAAAAAATGGTTCTATATAGAACCATTTTGGAGTTCCATATATGAAGTGGGGGATGGAACCATTTCTGGTTTTAAATAGAACCATTTCTACTAAGAGTGCAGGAATAAATTACATTTTATATATATTCACATAGAAAGCAGTTCATTTAAATTGTAATAATATTTTACATTATTCTTTACTGTATTTTTATCAAATAAACACAGTGAGCAGAAGAGACTTCTTTCAAAAACATTAAAAACTCTTAAGCTTTTGAACGCTAGTGTTTCTACAGAAGTTACTTTTATCTATGAGCTTTTGCCCTGGAGTTTGGAGCTAGTGAAGGATATTATGCAAATGCAAACTTAACCATCATATTTAGTGTTAGTGATTTGAACAAGCCCCTAATAGTAATGATGAAATATCCTCTCTCTATGTTTTGCTTTCTCCTCTTTGTCCTCCAGATAACCTCTTTGGGAATTATATGGATAAGGGTCAGTTCATCGAGAAGGTGGGAATAACGGCTGCGGTGGACCCCGATTCCATCCCGACCAACACGAACCGCTACGTGCTAGCCGACGTCACCTCCTTCTTCACCATGCTGGTGGGCATCTACTTCCCCTCCGTGACAGGTCAGTCATCTCATCCGTCAGTACCTTGAAGATCAACATTTACAAGAATATCCGGCAAACTTTCCAATAAGGTTCCATATTACAAACAGTCAAATCATTAAAATTACAAAAATGGAAGTATGGGGCATTACTGTATATAGGAAGCAAAACATTGAACTGTATGATCTGCCTTGTTTTGAACAGGTATCATGGCTGGATCAAACCGATCTGGTGATTTGCAGGATGCCCAGAAGTCCATTCCCATCGGCACCATCCTGGCCATCACCACCACCTCCATCATCTGTATCTTCTCATACATGAACACACACACACACACACATATACAGCGCTCCACCTGGTGGACACAATCTGATATCACATCTTCCTGCAGAACCGTTTATGATACACCCAATGTCCGGCCCCCCCAAAAAGTTTGGATTTAAATAGGCTTACAGTGTAGTCAATATCCCTTAAAACTTATCTTTGATCACCAAAATTACATATTTAAAAGTTTTTTCCTTGAAAAAAAAATGTCTTCATGCCTTAAAATAGCTTTAAATGTAACTCGACACCCTTGCCTCATTTACGATGCGCGGTGCTATGAATATGCAAATGAGCCCCACCCCCACTCACTCACTCAGCTCAGAGATCCACTGGTTGCCGATCACATGCTGATCTGATTGGTTACAAGGTCGAAGCGATTTCACACCGTGTTTTTGAGACTGTCTACTCAGCAATGCTGTCGACTCATGAACTTACACACGGTTTGTCTTAAAGCGTCATATAAACAACATTAAAAGTTTGATTTTCACCACAGGTTGACTTTAAGAATCAGTGATTGGATCATTATGGATCAATAAATCCAATCAGTGATTGGATATATTATCATTATATATCATTATTATCAGATACTGGATCATCATACTGTATATTGCAGTGATTATTATGTTTCTAGCATGTTATATGAATGGCAGCGGTAATTCTTTTCATCAAAATTAATAATTTGATCAAAATAAAATATGAAAGTTCTGCCTGCCTTAGTGATGATGGAGTGTGTAGCTTTTCATTTCTTAAACAAACATGTAGGGAGACACATCATGGCCATACTCCAGGAGGACAATGTCAAAATTCATCAAATATTTATGCACCTCTTGATGGAAATAAATGCTGTGATGTTATTTCCATCAAGAGGTGCATCAGTTTTTGGTCAAGGTCTTATATTGACAATGCACTCATCCCAAACACTTTCATTGAATTTAAGGTCTGTCCCAATTCATGTGTGAAAATGCTTCTTCATGCTCCTTCTTGACTATTCTCAGCCTGATGCATCTTGACATTGTCCCCCTTATTCATCGTCTGGAATCGTTTAAAGCCCTTTAAACTGTTTGGACCCCATTGAAGTCCATTATATGGAGAAAAATCCTGGAATGTTTTTATCAAAAACCTTAATTTCTTTTCGACTGAAGAAAGAAAGACGTGGACATCTTGGATGACATGTGGGGAGTTAATTATCAGCAAAAGTTTTTTTTTTAAAGTGAACTACTCCTTTAATAAATAACTAAAATGACTAAAACTGGAATAACAGCTAATTAAAGCTAAATTGCATAAATAATAATAATAAAAAGTGACAGAGGCGCTTTAAAAAATTACTGAAACAAACTAAAATGAAAAATAAAAATATGAAAGGTAGTAATAGTAGTAAAAAACAATATAACAATATTTCAGCTAACATTAACAAAAACATATTTGAATAGTTTAAATTAATAAATCTCAATATGATCCAGTAAACACAAACAAGCAAACATTACTCTCTTTGTTTCAACACTACATGTTTTATTTAGCTATTTTAAACTCATTGTTGTCCTTTTTTGCTTGGAATATGGCCATGATGTGTTTATAAACACACAAAACAAGCTGATAAGAGTTCATATTTGTCCAAAAAGCAAATCTTCAGCAGATGTTCTTTAACCGAAGCATCCAGACATGTCCAGCGTGCTGCTGTTCGGCTCCTGCATCGAGGGAACGGTCCTGAGGGATAAGTACGTTATTCACAATGTTCAAAAGAGCAGCATTTATTTTTTAAAGGGATAGTTCACTTTGAAATTTATTTTTGGTGTGTTTTAGCTTACCTCAAGGGCATCCAAGATTGTTTCCGCGTTCTTGTCTGTCAGTCATACAATGGAGGTCTATGGTCACCACCTCAAAGAGCATGCACTGAGAAGTCCAAATTAAAGATGATTTAATGACTCATGAATGTAAGTACACATTGATGGCCTAAGACACGAAACGAGCGGTTTGTGTGAGAAAACCAACAGTATTTATATCGTTTGACCTCTTATAACCACAGCCACAAAGCGCCCGCGCCCTCAGATCTCTTGGACGTGGCTGTGGTTACAAGAGGTAAAAACGATATAAATCCTGTTCGTTTTCTCACACAAACCGCTCGTTTCGTGTCTTAGGCCATCAATGTGTGCTTACATTTACGAGTCATTAAATCATGTTTAATTTGGACTTCTCTGTGCATGCTCTTTGAGGTGGTGACCATAGACCTGCATTATATGACTGACAGACAAGAACGGTTTGACCTAAAAATATCAAAATTGAAACTACTGCGGAAGCAAAGACACCTACATCTTGGATGGTAAGCTAAAACATACCAAAAATGTATTTCAAAGAGAACTATCACTTTAAATGTTGCTTTTGTAACATTATAAATGTCACTGTTGATGAACTGAATTGCTGTATCTCAGGTTTGGTGAGGCCGTCAGGGGTAATCTGGTGATCGGGACACTGGCGTGGCCTTCGCCCTGGGTCATCGTCATCGGCTCCTTCTTCTCCACCTGTGGGGCGGGTCTCCAGAGCCTGACGGGTGCTCCTCGTCTCCTCCAGGCCATCGCACGGGACGGCATCGTGCCGTTCCTCAGGGTGAGGAGACACACTGAGAGTCACACTGAGCGCCTTGTGTTTATCTGCTCACGTGCATGCGTGTGTGTTGCAGGTGTTCGGCCACGGAAAAGCAAACGGGGAGCCCACCTGGGCACTGCTCCTGACCGCTTGCATCTGTGAGAGCGGGATTCTCATCGCTTCCCTGGATAACGTCGCTCCCATCCTCTCCATGTAAGAGCGAACAAACATGCACTGCATTAGATATTAAAATGTTAAAACAAATGACACGTTTTTATTGTATAATTCGTTTTTATCAACTTTAAGGAGTAGTTCACTTTTAAAAAACTTTTGCTGATAATTTATTAAAAAGATATTCATGCCTTTCTTTCTTCAGTCGAAAAGAAATGAAGGTTTTTGATAAACATTCCAGGATTTTCTCCATATAATGGACTTCAATGGGGACCAAACGGTTCAAGGTCCAAATGAGAGTTTCAGTGCAGCTTCAAAGGGCTTTAAACGACACCAGACGATGAATAAGGGTCTTGCTCATTTAAAAAAATAAAAATAGTTATAGATATAACTAAATATAATAACATTTTGATAAACGAGTTCGAACAGGAGAGTCACAAACGCGCATCACAGAACAGAGCAAGGCGAGCATTTGAGCTTATAAAACTTAAACTTTTTTTTTTTTTTTTTAAATGAGCCCTCGTTTCGTTTGATAAGACCCTTATTCATCGTCTGGAATTGTTTAAAGCCCGTTTGCAGTTTGAACCGTTTGGACCCCATTGAAGTCCATTATATGGAGAAAAATCCTGAAATGTTTTCATAAAAAACATAATTTCTTTTCGACTGAAGAAAGAAAGACATGGACATCTTGGATGACATGGGGGTGAGTAAATTATCAGCAAAAGTTTTTTTTTAAAGTGAACTACTCCTTTAATAAATACGTAACTAAAATGACTAAAACTGGAATAACAGTTAATTAAAGCTAAATTGCATAAATAATAATAATAAAAAGTGACTGAGGCGCTTTACAAAATTCCTGAAACAAACTAAAATGAAAATTAAAAATATGAAAGGTAATTCAAAATGTTAATAAATACTATAATAGTAAAAAAAATAACATTAAAAAACACATATTTGAATAGTTTAAGTTAATAAATCTCAATATGATCCAGTAAACACAAACAAGCAAACATTACTGTCTTTGTTTCAACACTACATGTTTTATTTAGCTATTTTAAACTCCTTTTTTGCTTGAAAAGTCTGGACTGTTTTTTTAAATAAATGATATTTAGTTCAATACACAATCACGTTTAGACATTTGAACACTTTTTGTCACCACTGTATTGATTGGTTTGTGTTTTCTTACATGATCGTGGTGTTTTTTAAAAAAAATGTTATTATGCTTACAAACAAACAAAGATGACAATCATATCATGCAATTCTCAAAATTGCAAATATATCTACAAAATATGTCATCTTAACACAAGTACAAAAACAAAACAAAGAACATAAAAACTAAAAAAAAACAAAGAAGAAAGAAAGAGAAGAGAAAAAAATAAATAAATAAAATGAGGGTCAAGAGGGCAAGCTATTCTGTAGGACTAACCAAATTAAAGTCATTACAGAATAAAAGTGTTTTTATTGCTTTGATGGTGTTAAGGTACATTTCAAACTCTTTCAAAAAAAACTATAAAAATTGGTTTGTTGTTGGAGAATTTACATATTATGGATATAGAATTTCCCAATAAAAAAAAAATTAATTGGTAACAAAGCAGGCTTTTTTTTATCCATTTCAGAGTTAAAGTATCCAAAAATAATGTCTTTGGTGTTCCTGCAGGTTCTTCCTCATGTGTTACATGTTTGTGAATCTGGCCTGCGCTGTTCAAACTCTCCTGAGAACGCCCAACTGGAGACCACGGTTCAAGTTCTACCACTGGTGAGCTTCAGACGGCCACGTCTCTCCGTTGACTTGTGTTTGTGCTCTAACATGTGCCTTCCTGTTCTCCTACAGGACTCTTTCCTTCCTCGGCATGAGTCTTTGTCTCTCGCTCATGTTCATCTGTTCTTGGTACTACGCCATCGTTGCCATGGTGATCGCCGGCTGCATCTACAAGTATATCGAGTTCCGAGGGTAAGTGCGTCGTGACCCGGAGTCGGGGGGGGATTAGAGTTGAGGTTTAGGCGTTTGACCTGTCAAGATTTTTAGATCCCTCATAATCCGCCCCGGGGCAAGAACATCTGAAATCTGCTCCGGGATTCGATTAGTTTGACGCCTTTCCTTTGGAAACACTTCTAGAGTCAAGCCGAACAGTGACCCGAGTCTGTCGGCGGAAATTAAAGAGGAGGGGCAAATGAGCCGGAGGATTATGGATATACTGCATATACTGCACTGTACACTTAAAAACAGAACAGTGCACATTTGAAATAGTAGATTGCATATGTCGCAGTGACATTTAGAGGAATTTGACATTTTTGCAGTCGAATAATGCATGGTTAAATTGAGTGGATTGCATTGTGGGATTCAGTGCTGTGTTGTACAATGCACATGTTGCCAAATGTACAAGGTCTAAAATATGTATGTAATATGTGCAATGTACTGCAGATATTGTAAGATTAATATGTTGGTGTGTGTGTGTGTGTGTGTGTTTACAGGGCAGAAAAGGAATGGGGTGATGGAATCAGAGGTCTGTCTCTCAGCGCGGCTCGCTTCGCCCTCATGAGGTTGGAAGAGGGACCGCCACACACCAAGAACTGGAGGTGAGTGCATAAATATTTTATATATTTGTATTAATAGATTTATATTTACATACATGTATTCCTTTTTATATATTTAGGCATATATTTTTATTTATATATGAATATGTGTATATATATATTTATTCATATTTAGATTCATATATTACTTTATTATAATTGCATGTGTGTGTGTGTATAAATTATATTTTAAAATATGTTCAAATAGCAAACCATTATTTTAAATTGTTATAATATTTGACAATATTACTGTTTTGTATTTATGACTATATATAGTTAACTAATACTATATTTATTAATTATATATTTATATTTACGTATATTTATTCCTTTTTATACATTTAGGCATGTATTTTTATTTATAATTTGTATATATATTTATTCATATTTAGAGTCATATATTACTTTATTTTAATTGTGTGTGTATATATATATATCACAGGAATAAATAATATTTTAAAGTATGTTCAAATAGCAAACCATTATTTTAAATTGTTATAATATTTCACAATATTACTGTTTCTATTTATGACAATATAAAGTTAACTAATACAATATTTATTAATTATAGATTTATATTTGCATATATTTATTCCTTTTTATACATTTAGGCATGTATTTTTATTTATATATTAATATGTGTATATATATTTATTCATATTTAGAGTCATATATTACTTTATTTTAATTGTGTGTGTATATATATCACAGGAATAAATGATATTTTAAAGCATGTTCAAATAGCAAACCATTATTTTAAATTGTTATAATATTTCACAATATTACTGTTTCTATTTATGACTATATATAGTTAACTAATACCATATTTATTAATTATAGATTTATATTTACATATATTTATTCCTTTTTATAAATTTAGGCATATATTTTTTTTATATATATTAATATGTGTATATATATTTATTCATATTTAGAGTCATATATTACTTTATTTTAATTGTGTGTGTGTGTGTGTATATCACAGGAATAAATTATATTTTAGAGTATGTTCAAATAGCAAACCATTATTTTAAATTGTTATAATATTTCACAATATTACTGTTTCTATTTATGACAATATATAGTTAACTAATACTACACTCTAAAAAATGCTGGGTTGTTTTAACCCAACTTTGGGTCAAATATGGACTAACCCAGCCGTTGGGTTAAATTTTTACATTACATTTTTAACCCAACATTTCGGGTTTGTCCATATTTGACCCAAAATTGGGTTAAAACAACCCAGCATTTTTTAGAGTGTATATTTACTAATTATAGATTTATGTATACATATATTTATTCCTTTTTATACATTTAGGCATGTATTTTTATTTATATATTAATATGTGTATATATATTTATTCATATTTAGAGTCATATATTACTTTATTTTAATTGTGTGTGCGCATGTGTGTGTGTATATATCACAGGGATAAATTATATTTTAAAGTATGTTCAAATAGCAAAACATTATTTTAAATTGTTATAATATTTCACAATATTACTGTTTCTGTTTATGACTATATATAGTTAACTAATACCATATTTATTAATTATATATTATATATTTAGATGAATAGATTTATAGTTATATAATTATCCTATTCAGTTATTCTAACAAAAAACTTTACAATACATTATTATCATTTACATGTTACATTTTATCTTTATGTACAGTTGTTATTTGAATGATATTAGTCCGTCCGTATACATATATTTATAAATAGTTAAATATATACAGTATATATGCTAAATATTTTGGAGTTATTGCACACAATTGATCTTTTTAAAGTTTTGACCACTATTTACTAATTTTTCCAGTTTTCTGGAGTGTGAGTGAACTGTGTGTCGATCTCCACAGACCGCAGTTATTAGTCCTGGTCAGCGTGGACTCCGAGCTGCAGGTGGATCAGCCTCGTCTGCTGTCTCTGACCAGTCAGCTGAAGGCTGGGAAGGGTCTGACCATCGTGGGCGCAGCGCTGGAGGGAACTTACCTGGAAAACCTTCCTCAGGGCCAGCAGGTCGAACAGGTGACCAACAGACGAGCACACACACACACACACTTCTACTCAGGCACCTACCCAGACGGCATGTTTGGACATCATATCAGAGTTAATGTTGTTTTTGTCCTCTCAGTCTGTGAGGAAGCTGATGGAGACGGAGAAGGTGAAGGGTTTCTGTCAGGTTGTTATCTCCTCCAACAAGAGGGACGCCACATCACATTTGGTCCAGGCCGGAGGGTTGGGTGGTCTTCAACACAACACTGTTCTGGCCAGCTGGCCACGCAACTGGAAACAGGCCGAGGACCATCAGAGCTGGAGGAACTTCATTGGTGAGAAGCAGCATTTCCTGTGAATTAAATATAAAAAGATTTAAAGGGATAGTTCACTTTGAAATTAATTTTTGGTGTGTTTTAGCTTACTTCAAGGGCATCCAAGATGTAGGTGTCTTTGTTTCCACAGTAGTTTCGATTTTGATATTTTTAGGTCAAACCGTTCTTGTCTGTCAGTCATATAATGCAGGTCTATGGTCACCACCTCAAAGAGCATGCACAGAGAAGTCCAAATTAAACATGATTTAATGACTCGTAAATGTAAGTACACATTGATGGCCTAAGACACGAAACGAGCGGTTTGTGTGAGAAAATTAACAGTATTTATATCGTTTTACCTCTGATCCACGTCCAAGTGATCTGTGCATGCTCTTTGAGGTGGTGACCATAGACTGACAGACAAGAACGGTTTGACCTAAAAATATCAAAAATATCAAGAATGAAACTACTGCGGAAACAGAGACACCTACATCTTGGATGCCCTTGAGGTAAACTAAAACATATCAAAAATTAATTTCAAAGTGAACTATCCCTTTAAATGCAATAAAAGTATCGTCATCATCTACTTCTTCCTCTTATCTGAAGTTGGGTCATGCAATAAAATTAATTATATTTAATTAAATTAAATATAATATGTTTATACAATATAATTAAGCACCGTTTCTTCCTATTACATGGAAGAATCACAAATGACCTCTCTTTGATTGCTCAGTCGTTTATCTTGGTGTGTGTTCACACTCGGCATGTTTGCTTGGATTAAAACAAACCCTCTGTTAGTGCGGTTCAGTTGAATAAGTGTGAGCAATACCCTGGTGTGCACTAAACAAGCTGAAAAGACTCAGCTTGGTGCGGTTCGAATGAAATATGAACACAACACGGACCAAAGACAGGACATGATGTCACTAGATGCGAGCCTGTAAACGACGGAATGCTGAAATATACCTGTTTTTCTCTTCATAGTGTCGATGTTTGCAAAGTCTGCAATCAAAAGTCAGAGATCTGAATATGAACTCAAAAAAGTATCTTCTGTTACTATTTGTATTCTTCTTAAACTATTTAAGGAAGCACATCTGAGACAAAGTTGACAGAAAAATCATACATTTTTCTGGCTTTGTGAGATGTAATCAGTGTATCAGGCTTTAGCTCACCAGTTTGCGCTGTGGTAAATTCATTACATCATATGTGTAAGTGCGAGTCTGTTCAGTGTTATTGCAGACAGAGCAGGTGCAGCTTCACGTCTGAGACCACAGGCGAGTGACGCTTTCATTTGGAAAAGATCCTAAAATAGTTACTGGAATAGTGTGCTGCTGAATACATGTGTTTCATTATCAGCTGATTTATTTCAGGTGTTGACAATTTTACTAAAGATTCAGCCAGAAAATGAAATATAAATTTAAAAAGATACATGTATTATATTTATTTTATATATTAAAAATGAAAACTTTTTATTAGGGCTGTGCAAAAGTTAATTGCGATTAATCGCATCCAAAATAAAAGTCTGTTTTACATAATATATTTGAGTGTGCTGTATATAATTATTTTGTATATATAAATATCTATGCATGCATGTATATATTTAAGAATTATTTGCGCTTAAATTCTGTATATATATATAAATACATAATCTATATTCTATAAATATAAATATTTTATATAGGAATAACACATTTTCTTAAACATATACATACATGTGTGTGTATTTATATATACAAAATAATTATATACAGCACACACAAATATACTATGTAAACACAGACTTTTATTTTGGATGCGATTAATCGCAATTAACTTTTGCACAGCCCTACTTTTTATCTCACAATTCTGACTTTTTCTCAAAATTGCTTGGTATAAAGTCAGAATTGTGAGATGTAAACTCTTAATTGTGAGAAAAAAAGTAACAATTGCAAGATATAAAATTGCGAGAAAAAAAGTACGAATTGCAAGATAAAAACACAATTGCGAGATTTAAACTCCCAATTGCAAAAAAAGTATGAATTGCAAGATATACATTTGCAAATGCAAGAAAAAAGTCAGAATTGCGAGATGTAAACTCTTAATTGCGATAAAAATGTCAGAATTGCGGGATATAAACTTGGAATTGCGAGAAAAAAGTAAGAATTGTTAGAGTTAAACTTACAATTGCGAGAAAAAAGTAAGAATTGCAAGATAAAAACACAATTGCGAGATTTAAACTCCCAATTGCAAAAAAGTATGAATTGCAAGTTATAAATTTGCAATTGCAAGAAAAAAGTCAGAATTGCGAGATGTAAACTCTTAATAGCGAGAAAAATGTCAGAATTGGGAGATATAAACTTGGAATTGTGAGAAAAAAGTTAGAATTGCAAGATAAAAACACAATTGCGAGATTTAAACTCCCAATTGCAAAAAAAAGTATGAATTGCAAGATATAAATTTGCAATTGCAAGAAAAAAGTCAGAATTGCGAGATGTAAACTTGGAATTGTGAGAAAAAAAGTAAGAATTGTGAGATAAAAACCCACAATTGCGAGAGAAAAAAAGTAAGAATTGCAAGATAAAAACACAATTGCGAGATTTAAACTCCCAATTGCAAGAAAAAAGTCAGAATTGCGAGATGTAAACTCTTAATTGTGAGAAAAATGTCAGAATTGCGAGATATAAACTTGGAATTGCGAGAAAAAAGTAAGAATTGTGAGATAAAAACTCACAATTGCGAGAAAAAATTTATGCATTATATCTACATATGCTATATTTTATTTTTAAGTACAGTTATTATTTTAATTGTTATACATTTACTGCATAGTATTAAATATTACATTTTTTAATAACATGTGCTTAATTTTGTGTTTGTATTTGGAACTTCACAGACATAAAAACGAATGCTCATATTATGCAAATGAATAAGTCTGACATCGGAGCAAAAACAGCTTCAAATGAATGAAACATAAATAACCAATGCTCAAGTTCAATAATGAATATAAAAGTGTCTTCATTACAGAGCTGGTAAGAGAAACCACCGCTGCCAGTAAAGCCCTGCTGGTGCCCAAGAACATCTCGGCCTTCCCATCGAACGGAGAGCGCTTCACTGAGGGTCACATCGACGTGTGGTGGATCGTTCATGACGGAGGCATGCTAATGCTGCTACCCTTCCTCCTCCGCCAGCACAAGGTACAGCCTTCATCACGATCATGATCATATCATACAGCGGTTGTTTGCAGTGTTGTTGACATCTGTGGGTGATGTTCTGTAGGTTTGGAGGAAGTGTAAGATGCGCATCTTCACTGTGGCCCAGATGGACGACAACAGCATCCAGATGAAGAAAGATCTGACAACCTTCCTGTATCACCTGCGCATCCACGCCGCGGTGGAAGTGGTGGAGATGGTAATCAATCAACACTAGATAGAGACCAAGATGTGCTTAAATTCTTAAAATGAGCATAAAAAATTTGGCAAATCATTTTTTTATTCGGTAAGAAGACGTGTTTGGAAGCTTGTTTCCGCCACTAAATAAAAATGAAAAAAGGTAATTACAACTTTTTATCTCACAATTCTGACTTTTTCTCAAAATTGCTTGGTATAAAGTCAGAATTGTGAGATGTAAAAACTCTTAATTGCAAGAAAAAAGTAACAATTGTGAGATATAAACTCCCAATTGCAAAAAAGTATGAATTTTAAGATATAAATTTGCAATTGCAAGGAAAAAAGTCAGAATTGTGAGATGTAGTCTTAATTGCGAGAAAAAAGTACGAATTGTGAGATATAAACTCACAATTGCGAGATTTAAACTCAAAATTGCGAGAAAAAAGTAAGAATTGCAAGATAAAAACACAATTTGTGGGATTTAAACTCACAATTGCGAGAGAAAAGTAAGAATTGCGAGATATAAACTCACAATTGCGAGATTTAAACTCAAAATTGCGAGAAAAAAGTAAGAATTGCAAGATAAAAACACAATTTGCGGGATTTAAACTCACAATTGCGAGAAAAAAGTAAGAATTGCGAGATACAAACTTACAATTGCTAAATTTAATCTCACAATTGCAAGAAAAAAGTAAGAATTGTGAGATAAAAACTCACAATTGCAAGAAAAAAGTAAGAATTGCGAGATAAAAACACAAGTTGCGGGATTTAAACTCACAATTGCGAGAAAAAAGTAAGAATTGCGAGATACAAACTTACAATTGCTAAATTTAATCTCACAATTGCAAGAAAAAAGTAAGAATTGCGAGATAAAAACTCACAATTGTGTCATTAAAACTCACAATTGCGACAAAAAAGTAAGAATTGCAAGATAAAAACTCACAATTGCGAGATTTAAACTCAAAATTGTGAGAGAAAAAAGCAAGAATTGCAAGATAAAAACTCAAAATTGTGAGAGAAAAAAGGAAGAATTGCAAGATAAAAACTCACAATAGCGAGATTTAAACTCACAATTGCGAGAAAAAAATAAGAATTTGTTAAAACTCACAATTGAGAGAAAATGTAAGAATTGCGAGATAAAAAATATGAATTGCGAGATACAAAATTGCAATTTTCTTTGACATTGTTTTGGAGTAGTTGGAGCAGAAGATAAAAAAAAAGTGCTTAAATTCGAATCAGCTATTCCTTTATGAACTGTAGATATGTTTTCCTTCGGCACAGTTTTATGAATAACTCTATTATTGCATCTCTCTCCTCAGCATGACAGTGATATCTCAGCGTACACGTATGAGAAAACCCTGGTGATGGAGCAGCGATCTCAGATCCTGAAGCAGATCAACCTCACCAAGACTGAGCGGGAGCGCGAGGTACACGTCCAGCCTCAACACTGTCACTCGCGGTCACTTCAACAGCAAACCATACATCAATTACAAGGATTCCTAAACATTTTCTTGCCAATTTTTGACCTAAATTATTTACTTGAAGTATTTTTAAGCTAATATTTTAATAATTTAACACATTCTCATGTTTACGGTTCTCTGATGACGGTTAATGGTCACATGACCATTTTATTGTTTTTATTTTTATATTTGTTAACTATTTTTTATTAATTCTTATTATTTATAATGAATTGCAATGCTCTACAGTTTGAGCTGCAGCCAATGGATTTATAGAGCCTTTACAAAGCTTTTATAGTCAGAACAAAGTGGACATTATGATTAAACATGTTGCATGTTGCAAAGTTTGTGCATCAAAGTTAATTTAATGACAATGTCATCTGTTAATTTCAGAAGTTAAGAAAATTACTTTTAAATATGGAAATGTTTTGATTTGATTTTTTTTTTTTTTTTTTGCTGGATACTTTTAATTCTAAACAGTAAAAATACTTTAAATAAAATATATTTCCCTGTACTTTATGCAGATGAGGGGAACATCTCATTTACATAATAATATTACTTTGCAATATAGGAATGCAGTTGTTAATGTGTGTAATGAAGCCCGTGACATCACTGCTGGTCTTTCAGATCCAGAGCATCACCGACAGCTCTCGCGGGTCGATCCGCCGTAAGAACCCGGCCGCGGTCACGACCCAGCTCAGTGTGACTGAGGAACCGGCGGCCAGCAGCAAAGAGGAGAAACCAGAGGAGGAGGTACAGCATGAGGAGGAGGCCATGCTCAGCTCAGTTAATGAGTCACTTTACAGGTTTCATCTTCCATGGCAAGAGCAGATTAATCTCTTGTGTTGAACAGCTGTGATCTGATCTTGACTGATTTGTCTGATATCTCTGCAGTTCAGAGTAATGGACACGGCAGAATCCCCCTCTCTCTCTCTCATAAGTTATTTTATTGGAAATATTTTGTTTATTAGAAAAGCCATATTAATTATTTAATATGGCGGAATTCATTGTTTTAATTTTTTTTTTTTTTTTTTTAGAAAATTAAATCATTATTATAATTGAAGAGTTCAGATGCAAAAGCCTCTAAATGCCATTTGAAATTTTCTTCTTTAATGATGATTTTTGTCGAACTTGTATATTTAAGTTCAGTAATTTCACTTAAATAACAATTAATAGGTAATTATCATTGCCATTTAAGTGAAATTACTGAACTTAAATATACAAGTTTGATAAAAATCATCATTAAAGAAGAAAATTTCAAATGGCATTTAGAGGCTTTTGCATCTGAACTCTTCAATTATAATTAAAATAATTAGCGACCGCAATAAATTAATTATCTGAATTTTATTTTTAAATTGTCTTTTAATTTTTAAGTATAATTAAAATGGAAGTAATCAGTAAATAAATAGCTTTATTTTATTTAATAATAATTTTTTTTAATTTTAAATTTAAATTAAAAAATCATAGTCATCTTCATTTTTATCATAATAATTAAATTTTTATTGTACTCACAGTATTTGTGCTATTTATTATTTTACTTGATGTAATCATTATTTATTATCATCATGTCATTGTAATGTTTATTTGAATGATTTTATTTCCGATTGAATATGTTTTGATTTATCATATTTCATCTCTGAGCATTAACAGTTGTATCTTTTCCTTCTCTTTTGCCCTGACATTCTCCATATGTGCGTATGTGCCGGTCCTGCCCTCTCAGTCTGTCCCTGTGTCCCCGTCCCAACAGGAACAGCTCATTCACGACAAGAGCACCAACCCGCCCACCCCGGCCACTCCTCAGTCCCCCAGCGCGGACGCCGAGACCCCCGGCACGACCGTTCAGATGACGTGGACCGAAGCCAAGTGTGATGGAGAGAAGGCCAAACCTGTCGGAGCCACCACACCCGAGGCCATCAAAGACCTCTTCAACATGAAACCGTGAGTCCCGCGAGGCTTAAACCTCGACTCCGTTTTGCATTGCACACTTTCACACTCGTCTTTCTGTCTTTCTTTGCCATGCCACAGAGAGTGGGAAAACCTGTGAGTATAGACGCAGCTCTGACTGCGATACACATGTTAACACTCACTGATGTGGAGATGAATGTTTGTGAGATTATCATCGACGCTTTTTTGTTTTCAGAAACCAGTCCAACGTGAGGCGCATGCACACCGCTCTCAGACTCAATGAAGTCATCACGAAGAAATCCCAGGAGGCCAAGCTCGTCCTGCTCAACATGCCCGGACCACCAAAAAACAGAAGTGGCGACGAGAACTGTATCTTGATAATTGCTGCGATTATGTTCATTCCATTAGCCTGGTTAAAACCAGTATCTGAGTTATGGATCATTTCCAGAGGTCGCGGATAGACCATAAAACCAATCAGAGCGATGAAGGAAATGACGTATGCAGAGCGGAAACAGTGTTGCTCTTTGCTCGGTTTTTAACAAAAGGAAACGTTCAAATCGCTTAAAACAGACGCGATAGTCGGGCTGGACGATTTTGGCTAAAATTGTAATCGCGATTAATCGAACAAGTTACCTCGATTACGATTATTGAACGATTATTTTACTTTTACTTTCTTTCTCATGTCACTGGCAAGCTAATACTGTAAATATGTATGTATTTTTTCTTTGTGATTCTAAAATAAGGAAATGCATACATAGCTTTTAATGCTTATTAAATATTTAAAAATGTAGAAAATAGTTATTTTTGTAAACAAAATAAATTTTTGTAGTCATCATGTAAAATATAACTTGTATAAAACTAAAAAACGAATCCTTTTCATATTGTGTAGCGTTTGGAAATGCTTGTGTTTTCGATCATAAAATAGCGCATCTCGTACTGTTTCACGCTGGCGAACGATCCCAACTTTTGCTGATAATTTACTCACCCCCATGTCATCCAAGATGTCCACGTCTTTCTTTCTTCAGTCGAAAAGAAATTAAGGTTTTTGATGAAAACATTCCAGGGTTTTTCTCCATATAATGGACTTCAATGGGGACCAAACGGTTCAAGGTCAAAAAGACACTTTCAATGCAAACTGCAAACTGTTCAAAGGGCTTTAAACGACACCAGACGATGAATAAGGGTCTTATCAAGCGAAACGAGCGCTCATTTAAAAAATAAATAAAAAAGTTTTAGTTTTATAAGCTCAAATGCTCGCCTTGCTCTGTTCTGTGATGCGCATTCGTGACTCTCCTGTTCATCAAAATGAACGAATCTTTTTCGTGTCATTTGGTTCATTCAACAAACTAAATGAACGAGTTGACTTGGGGAAAAGATTCGTTCATTTTGATGAACGAGTTCAAACAGGAGCACGAATCACAGAACAGAGCAAGGGGAGCATTTGAGCTTATAAAACTTAAACTTTTTTATTTATTTTTTAAATGAGCGCTCGTTTCACTTGATAAGACCCTTATTCATCGTCTGGTGTCGTTTAAAGCCCTTTGAAGCTGCACTGAAACTCTCATTTTGACCTTGAACCGTTTGGTTCCCATTGAAGTCCATTATATGGAAAAAATCCTGGAATGTTTTCATCAAAAACCTTAATTTCTTTTCGACTGAAGAAAGAAAGACGTGGACATCTTGGTTGAAATGGGGGCGAGTAAATTATCAGCAAAAGTTTTTTTTAAATTCAGCTTTGATCACAGAAATAAATACATTTTAAAATACATTATTATTTTGAATTGTTATAGTTTTACTGTATTTTTTATCAAATAAATGCAGTCTTACTGAGCAGAAGAGACTTCTTTCAAAGCATTAAAAAGTATTTCCGCCCCCAAAACTTTTAAACAATAGTGTATTTCAGGAATACATATAATTTGCATACTGCGCACCTTATTTACATACTGCAAACGTAGTGTGTGTATCTTTTACAGCTCCTCTCCTTTCCTTGACTCTCCATCAATCAGACATGGAATTCATGGAGGTTTTAACCGAAGGTCTCAACCGGGTCCTCCTTGTGCGCGGTGGAGGTCGCGAGGTCATCACCATCTACTCTTAAGAAACATGTCGACCCCATTTCCCTCCCTAGTGTGTCCCAAGCAATATCCCAGAATTCCCTTCAGTCAACCAGCTTCATTCGTCCGCCAAGCTCTCACTGGCCGAACATCGCTCTTGGCGCTACTCTCGTTCACACTTCACCGTTCAGTGAAGTGCACTGTTGATGTCAGTGGGTATTTGATCAATGCCCCCTCTGCTGTAGCTTTCCTGCATCATCTGTCAATCACTGCTCTCGCCCAATCAGAAGCAGCGGCTGGGTTGGGCTTTATTTATTTCAAAGAGGAGGGAACATGCAACGTCAATGAAGAAGGATTCGACGATCAGAACTACGCCAGAGATGCTGTGAAATATTTCTGCTCTGGTAAAGAAGGATAACCTTGGGAAAAGATTTTCGATCGTTTTGGTCTGCAGCTTCGTTAAATGTGAAAAGATTAATAATACGTTTATACAAAAGAAGAAAAAAAAAACCTAATGTGAACTGTGAAATGTGAAGTTTAAAGTCAACATGAAATCTTATTTTTCAACCCTCTCGCCCATTTTTTTTGGGAAAGTGTGTCGTATTGCGAACGGCATTTCACGTTGACTTTAAGCGGGTTCCTCTGCACAAAGACCTGTGTTTCTGTGTTTGTTTTTGTTTATCATCGACCTCCTCCATGTTTTCGGTCGTTCCTAGCTATTCCCCTGCCAAATACAGTCACAATATGTGCCAAAAACCAGGCTGGCAGGATGTGCGACTCTCTTGTGCTTGACAGCAAAGCAGCGAGCAAGAGTCTATCAGTGTAACCGACACTGTAATTAGCAAAAGAATGAGTTAAAAAAAAAGACAGAGAAAGAAAAAAAAAGTACTCAGCCACTACAAGTAGTGTAAATAGCGTATAAGGCATTATTAAATATTGTTGTAGTATTTTTATTTGTGAAATAACCGAAGATTCTGGTGAAAAAATGCTGTTGTCTTAAAGGAGTAGTTCACTTTTTAAAAAAAACTTCTGCTGATAATTTCCTCACCCCCATGTCATCCAAGATGTCCACGTCTTTCTTTATCAGTCGAAAAGAAATTAAGGTTTTTGATGAAAACATTCCAGGATTTTTCTCCATATAATGGACTTCAATGGGGTCCAAACGGTTTAAGGTCCAAAAGACAGTTTCAGTGCAAACTGCAAACTGTTCAAAGGGCTTTAAACGATTCCAGACGGTGAATAAGGGTCTTATCAAGCGAAACCATCGCTCATTTAAAAAAAAAAAAAAAGTTTTATAAGCTCAAATGCTCGCCTTCTGCGTGTTTGTGACTATCTTGTTCGAACACGTTCATCAAAATGAACGAATCTTTTGAACGAGTCAATTCTTTCATTTCGTCCGTTGAATGAACCAAATGACACGAAAAAAGATTTGTTCATTTTGATGAACGAGTTTGAACTGGAGAGTCACAAATGTGCATTACAGAACAGAGCAAGGTAACCATTTGTGCTTATTTTTTTAATTGAGCCCGTTTGGACCCCATTGAAGTCCATTATATGACATCTTGGATGACATGGGGGTGAGTAAATTATCAGCAAGTTTTTTTAAAAGTGAACTACTCCTTTAAGGCCAACTCACACATCACACAGACGCCGACGGACATCATCGAAATCCAATTCAGCATGTTTAATCGGTGAAAACAGACGCCAACACTGATCCGACATAACCCGGCCGAGTGTCTGACGGTGTGGTGTGAGTTGGCCTTCACAGGGTCAGGGTGTTTTGTGCGGCTACAGGCTTCACTACGGCGGCTTGACGTGTACTACGGTACCGAACCTCCCCTTCCCAACAAGCACTCAACCTGCACTGACAGCCACTGTGTAACAAATGATTTAATGAGTCTGTGGATTCATTAAGTGTGTACGTGTGTGTGTGTGTGTGAATTGCATCCTTGCGCGAATGAAAGTTGCCCATTTCTTTCTTTTTCCCCCCATTTTGCTATATGAAAAAATCTCTCTGTTTGTTGCATTTACAAATCTGTATAAATTAGCTATATCATAGATCTATATCGAACTTGGTGAGGCGCACGGAAATGTCACAGAGCTACATATAGAGTATTATCGTATCTGATTGTATTGCCAAACTTTTATTTCACTCGTGCCATATGAATGAAAATGTGAAATTATCAATAGAAACAAATATTGATGGCATTGCCACTTTAAACACTAGTGCTGCATTCACTTTATTACTATTTCTTTAACAAATCATATTATATGATGCATCCGACTTTATATAAAAACATCCAAAATGCCAGTGGCTTTAAAAGTTTAAAGGAGAACTTTAACATTGAGCTCCTTTTTTGTACATTTGAGTGCTGTCAGTACAGACAGAAATGACAACAGTCGATTGTCGAGTTTGGGCGCGCGATGATTTGTAACTAAGCAACAGTGGAGACTGACTGACAGCTGTTAGCCAATGACGGTGCTGTGTGGTATTCGGAGAATATCAGCTAAAATGTCCATCTGACTATATATTGACTTTGTTGGTTAGAATGTAATTTAAAAAATAAATTAAAAAAAAGCTCAAATGTTCATCCGAATCAGATGTTGAACAGCAATGATCGCGCGCGAACTCGACAATCGACTAAGTGGACTTCGACCGAAAACAGGAAGTACGTACAGGTATGTGAGCTGGCTGAATTAACATAATTTTTATTAACGTCTTTCACTTCTACTGCAGTCAGATTGACCGTGGTCACTCTTAATAACACCACTCACATGGCTGTGCACTCGTAATGACAAATCAAGGATGTTAAGAGGCTAAAAGCAGGTTTAGAACTGGCCATTGAAGTCAACAGGGCGCGAATTTTAAAAAGAGGAAAACACGGTGTAGGCAACACAGATTTTTGTCAGTACTGACCACTCCAAAAGTACAAAAAAGTGTTAAAATTGACCGGAGTTCTCCTTTAACCGCCATTTGAGATGTCATTTTGTGTTACTGTGCTGTTGCAGGAAGTGAATTTCTATGATTTTGAAGTAGATTGCTGTCATTATCAACATATGGATCCATTTTGGCGATATGGGCTTGAATCATTTCTGAGTCCATAAACAGCTCAGAACAGACTCTCAGTTGTCGCTTTGGTAATTACAGTAATTCCGATGCGACGTGAACGCAGCATTAGATTGAGCTGTTGTGACACTATAAACAAAGCATGATGGATCGAATAACATCCATAAATCTGAACTCTATGCAGTGCGACTGTAATGTATTAGCCAGATCACAAAAGAGTGAGATGCGAAATTAACCAGAGATTATCCTCGGTCTTGACCAGAGAAAAATAGAGTTTAAATTAGTTTGTATTTTTGAGAGCATAATATATGTGAAATTGGGAAATCATATTATTATTTTTGTAGAGATATAGGCTATTGTATAGTTGTTTTTTACAGAAATACCAACAACTACATATATAAATATACATGTGTCTACTCACTGGTAAGAAAGTATAGTTTACAAAGACATTACAGCTTCTTTTATGTTTAGACATGGGGAAACCTCTCATGAATGCTGCTGCTAGTGTATGAATAGATATGGGTTGTTCGTGTACATACTAGAGCGAAAGAATAAATATTTAAAGGTATATTTACGAGGGGAGGGGTTTACGCTGAGTTTGCATAAACGACTTCAGCCTTATATAATCAGCTTTATCACGTTTATATTTCATTTCGTTGAACAGTGGTAATTTCAAGCGACAACAGCGTTCATTGAAGCTGAACAAAACGCAAAATGTGTATCGAAACGCCACATTTTTAACGAAGTACTGCCTGCGTAGACTGAGCCTCTGATGACGTTTCGACGATTAGTTTGCGCGATGTTTTTTTTTTTTTTTTTTGCCGAACATTTTACTCCTGTTTGCATGGTGTATGTGTCGGACAAGTTTGTTTGATTTCGTAATGTGAAAAAAATGTCAAGGCAGCTTTTTAAAATTGTTGCCACGATATCCAGGCAACGCGTACACTTAGATTAGCGAGTTGTTTTTGGCATTGTATATAAAATCGCTCTTGAGACACTGTAGCCACAGGGTCGTCGTTCCCTGTTGTGTTTGTTAGAACGCTTTTAGTACACACCGGGAAAAAAAATGTTATACGAACTTTTTTTTTTTTTTTAACGGTAACGTGCAATATTTACTTTGACGGAAATGGTATGTATGACGTATTTTTAGTTGCTAGAGTCTGCTTCTCGTTGAATAGTCCTAAAACATGTAACGTTAGTTTATCAGCGCGCTTCGTATGCTAGAGTGTGCGTCACATCTGTTCTATGGTGGCTGAGATAGAAATGCACTTTATACAAAGTTAACGTTATTTACGTCCAGTGACGATTGAGTTGCCAGAGTCACGAGCATGCCAGATCCATTTCAGCGCTGATGCCTCTAGCGGCGAGAGTGTGTATCGCAGTTATCGCTGCAGTAACACATACTACCTGAACATTCAGATTTTATTATGCTGTAAAAAAAAAATTAAATAAAAAGTGCGTGTTTGCTGTTTATTTGGCATGAGTTTCTAGCATTTCTTGTAATTGATTGAAAATTACAAAACGACTATATGTAGATGTAAAAAAGAAGAGAAAAATGAAGATATATTTCTAATACGAATCACTGAGTTGATTTCCTCCCACTTTTCACCCCTTCACTGTTTCAAACCTACGAGCACTGTATCGATGTGATCACCGTATTAATATCGATTAAAGACTCTAAAGCGCTTCCACTGCTGGGCTTGGCTCTATTCGAACTGACATATTGGACACACCACATTCACAGTCGATCTTTTTTCCTTTATTCACCATCTCACGATAAATGCCTGGCTTGTGTGTAGCAAAAATGAAACCAAGTGTTCTGTATTCCTTTGCCAAGGAATATCGAGGCGTTCGACACATCTCGGAAACAAAAAGGGCTCTGAATAACAGTTCTGAAGTTTGACTCGCGCCACTGGATGTTCTCCCAAAAAAAAAAAAAAAAAATTGTGAATCTCGCTTTATTGTTTTAATCCTACATTGTTGAAAATAAAGGATGATCAGGTTCTTTGAAGATCCAAAAAGTTGGTATCATAGGTTCTCAGATCATTGTTTTGGTGTCTGGGGTCTTTTTCTGAAGAGATCGTTCACCCAAAAATGAAAAACGTGTCATCATTTGCTCCCTCCTCCAAACCTGTATGAGTTTCTTCTGTTGAACACAAAAGGAGATATTTTGAAGAATGTTGGTGATGGTCCCCATTGACTTCAATGGTATTTTCCTACTACTCTGAAAGTCAATGGGGACCATCATCAACATTCTTCAGAATATCTTCTTTTGTGACTTCTTCTTTTAAAGGTGTAATTATATATTTAAGTACTGCGTAATATTAAGCAACTACATGGTTTGAGTAGGATTAGGATTTGGTTGAGGGTTAGTTGCATAATTTACTGTTATTATTACTAGTACACGTAACATATGTAACAAGGACACTAAAATAAAGCGTTACCCAAAATTCACATTTTTGTTTGAACTGTCTCTTTAAAATGACACCAGACTGTAAAACCCTTTTGGTTCGTATCGAAACCTTTATTTTCAAGAGTTTAGTCCCATGGCGTTTACCTCTTGACATTCCAGTATCTTTGGTAAAAACGAAACCGCTCTTCACGCATGCGAGCGATCCGTCCACGAGATCCAAATGTTGAAATCTGATTCTAAACCAGTTGAAATAGAGCCAGGACCCGGGTCTGTTGTCCTGTTCAACGCATGCACATTATCCTGAACAAGCTAATATAAATATATATAAATATTTAAATGTTTTGTGATATACAGTATTATGTTCATTTCAGTTGTTTTGATTGTAAATGTGTTTTATTTTTACCAGATGTTTGGTGTTCTTGTTGTGCACAATGAT